TATCCACACTCAGAGTATCCTTGTAACGTTTGATTACAAGACTCACCGTTGACTTTGGGGATTGGGGATTGCTATTTTTGAGGCAAACCACGAAGGGTTCTCTAGATGTTTGTGCACAATTAATTTTCTTTTCTCAAGTTCCATGATCCGTAATTTCGGGATGCGTCGATCAATTGAGAAAAACTTTTCACCAATTTCTTCGTCAATGAAACATCAACAAATGGTTGTCAAACGTTTTTTGTACCCACCACCAGGGGCGCGGTGGTGTATTAAACCGTACGTCCAGATTTACTTTGAATAGAGCTTTAATAAAAAAAAAAATTATCGAATAAGCTCTGTTACATCACAGAGAACAGTCGTTCAAGCTCGGTCAGAAACTTGTGTAAAATAAGTGGGAACGTCGCCATTACGTGGTGTTAGCATCTCCTGATTTTCTCTATAAATTTTCCACTTTCGACCAATTTGGCGCTAGTATCGATAAATTTTCTATTGAAAATTGCCACTTGGCGCTACTAGCACTTAGTGTCTAGTGTAATTTGTGCAACGCCAGCGGCATCAGGTTGTCAAAGAGGGTTTTTAAGTGGGGAAGTCGCCGTTAGTGGCGTTTAAGTCGAATAGGAATCTTTACACAAGTTTTTAGAGAAATTTTTTTCGAGCCTCCATGTCTGTTCTCTGTGTGTGTGGTGAAGTAGTGTTAGGTTTTGAACGCTTGTAACTTTGTCATTTATAGATGAAATTAAAATCCAAATACACCAATCGATAGGGTATTACATTACGAATCTGCTGGAATAAACATTTTTCCAATTTCTCTGTAATAAAACTTTTGAAAAATGTACAAATGATAATTTTATCACTGTTTTCATGAAATAAGCGTTTTTCCCAAACCCAGTCATCATAATCGAGTACCACTTGGTTGCACATCGTTCTGAAAAGATATAAAACAGCACTGCTGTCGAGCTTCTGCTCATTTCCGCTTAGGACGGCGTGGCGCTTGGTCCTGCAGTAAGCAGGAGCAAGTCAGTGGTTAAATGTGACTTGGGTCCCGTTCAACTAAGGGGCTATTCATTAACTACGAGGGGGGAGGGAGGGGGCAAGAATCCCAAAAAATTGTCTACTAATTGTCTATTAACTAAACAGCCCCTAATACGAAATGCGGAAAAGTTATTTATGCAAAACAAGCCCTCACCTATAACGACAACCTGAAAAAAATGGACTTTAAAGATCACTGTTTTCCGGCCAATACAATGTGATTAAAAAAAAAGTTTTATTCCGTTAATTTTTTTACCCAACTGCTCAGAGAGCTTCGAATTTTAGAAAAAAATCGCTCACAATATTTTGATGTTATTCTGTGGATGATTTATCACCAACTGACTGTAAATCATATCTGGTACCTCTGTATATGCAATTAGATAAACATTCGAAGTCCATCCTTTTTTACATATTCTGCACAAAAGATACTTCCTGCCCCGCCCCATTCATAAAAAAAACGGTGGGAAATCCTGTCATGGGGCGGGGCTTAGAAAGTATTTTTATGCAGAATATGTAAAGAAGGAGGGGCATTGTTGACCCGTGCATCATAGAGAAAGAAGCTCTATCTACTGTTTCCAATTGGGTTATTCAAGGATATTGAGGTAAAGGCATATTCGTAATCTACATTAAACATGGAACCGAAATCCAAAATTTGATAAAAAATGGAGCACTGGAACTATTTTAAATAAGTGCGATTACATTTGTTAGTTTACTGTCAAACAGTGGAGTTAATATTTTGCTTTAAACTTTGATTTAGAAATTGTGATGAAAGTCTACGGTTTCGAAAAAAATATCGTTTTGCTCAAAAAACGAAGCTTTTTCAGATGATGTATAAAAATCGACACACTTTTTTGAAATTAAAGAACCCAATTAGCGCAATTACTCAGGAATGCTTGTGTGATTACAAGCCCGCGTTTCAATAAAATCCTATTGTGATAACATTGTTCATTTTTTGGTATTATTAGAAACTAGAAAGTTAGACTTTTTCACCAAACACACATTTGTCATGTCCATATGTAATATTGATAGAAAAAAAAAACACGACATACTTTTAAACGCAGTGCAAAAATGGCAGGAATAGGTTCAACCAAAATCCATTACCCTGCACCGGAGCAAGTAGAAACGTGTAGGGAAGTTGAAATGGTAGATTTAGCTCTTAGCGGAAGTGAATAATCACCCATTAAATGAGTAAAATTTTACCCATTTATGAGTAATTCCAACTACAAAAATAAGTAGTAAGTATTCATTTTTGAGTAACAAATACTCATAAATGGGTAATATGTTTACTCATTTCATGGGTAGTCCCAGTCTCCCTCGAAAATGCTTACTTTGTAGTCATTATTGGGTATTTTGCGGTTACCGTGAAGGAAGCGAAGTAGCTGGAAGCTGAGTAGATTGAAAGAAGATTGATGACGATTTTGAAGATTTCCTGCAAAAAGATGATGCGCGATGCAAGTAGATGCGACAAATGAAAGAAGATTTTTCGAAGATTGATTCGCTAGTGTGAAGCGCCCATTACACATGTCAATATATTGACAAACATCGTATTGTCAATTTTCCTTACAATATTATCAATATATAAATATTGAAAACATTAATGACAATACGCTAAAGCGTTCGTTACACAGGTTATTATATTGACAATAAATTGACATACTGATAATATTATTGAAAAGGTAATATTGATGACGATGGATTGATGACGAGTATTGTTGAAAACTGAGTTTCATTTCACTTTGTCAATATTTTTCCCCTACCCAAGAAGAGAGAGAACGTTCGTCATTTAGACCGACTGACTCACAAAGCACATTCACGCATACAGTGTTGCCATTTTGTTTAAATCTTCGTATGTGATATAAAATTGGTTTCAAACTAAATAAAAAAGTATCCTTTTACAGTCGCCAATCACTACCCAGGCTTCATCTATATGGATGTTCATTTTCTACAAAATCACAAACATAATCATGTTTTTTTTTTACTTTAAAATAAAATAAATACTTTCTGTGTTTCACATGCCTGCACGTAACGCAGGCGTTTTTCCTTTATGAGTGTTTATATTTAGGAAACTGCATACCATGAACGTGGGGTTTTCAACACGAGTCGTAATTCCACGCACTCGACAATCGATTTGATTCAATTCCATTAATTTGTAAAAACACATGTGCCTGCATGTGTTATCATATTGTCCTGTGTATTTTCTGTGTTCTGTCAAAAAGTTATAAAGTTTGATATTGGCTAGCCGTCAACGCCAATATCAATTTGGTATTTGAATGCAAGTTCGCGGAATTTCAGCTCCAGTGGAATAACCCACGTTCACGGTATATCCTATATTAATTAATAAACTATATGCCTGCCCATTAATACAGTTTTTATAGCATATTACCTACATTAACTTTCTTACTCGTCTTTTGGTTATAGTTGTCTTTTGAGTATTAATAATCAATAATATAAACTTGCTAAAAATTATAAGATGATTTCATCATGGTAAAACTAGTGTATAATTATGATAAAACTTAGCATTATATGTATGGTTAACATTCGGTAAACATTATTGTTCTGAAGAAAAATGTGAGTTAAGTAATATCAAAACTAAAATTGGATGGTAAAATGTATCACCTAGTTCTTTTGTCATTCCGTAAACAACATTCCTTTAAATTGAATCTAGAATAGGTTATTATGTAATACTACTTATTATAAAAATCCTAAAAATAATTAAAAATGTACAAGCATAAGTAAGGGTTTGGTGAGAATTGGTTTTCTTTGGTACACACTAAACCAGGCCTTCGATGTTCGGTAATTTTTGAACTACGAAACTTTTCGGTATAAGTTTATCAGTAAAAAGATTAACAATTTTGAAATTTATTAAGAAATTGTACGGACCTAGTTAAAAACATTCAATGATAATGTGTCGATTTTATTGATTTCTTACGAGTAAGGGGCTGTTCATAAACCACGTAGACGTAGATTAGGTAGATGGGGGTTGGGAATCACCCACGGCCCATTCAATTTTCATTTTTTTAATTAGGCAGAGGGAGGGAGGGGGGAAGTCTAAAATCCCAACAAACTATCTACGTACAGCCCCTAATGGTAATTTGAAATTTTACCGACTTAGGTGATACGAATTCAGTGTGTATTTAGTATTTTCTATAGGTCCAGCAACGACGTTTCTGTTTTGACCCGAGTGCAAACATTAACACTAAACACACTTTATGTCGCTGATCCGTGTTTCTTGTGAGGGGAAATTGAGACAAGTAATATTGACTTTAATACATTGAGGTTAAAAGGCTTCAAACGTATTGCCATTAATGTTGCCAATATTCGCAAAAAGATAATACTGATAGCAACATTGACTGTTTTTTGTCAATATATTCTGAGTATTGACAAAGTGAATTCAAAATTAACTTTTCGTCAATACTTGTCCTCAATCATCATCATCAATATCACCTTTTCAATAATATTGTCAGTATGTCAATTTATTGTCAATATATTGACATGTGTAATGGGCGCTTGAGATTTGTTGAGCATCTAAACTTGACATTTAGATGTGTCGCCCCCTCGCTTAATTTGTAATGTGTGAAACATGTAATTTGTATCTAGTTTTTAAGCAGGGTAACGGGCATAAATTCAATGCGATTTTGTTAGTAAATATGGTTAAAATATTTAAACTTAATTATCTTAAAACTACATCGTCTGGTTCAAACCGTTGTAGGGGTAAGAGGTGGGACCATCATCATCATCTCAAGCTGTTCAAAGGACGGCACAAAACTTTATATCCTCTGAAGAAGTCCAAGTCCAAAGGCCAAAACGTCGGACATAAAACAACGCAACGTTTTGATCAACTGCTGAATTGAAAACTCAATTTCGAAAAAAAAAAAATCGGCGACTTCGATAATTTATCGCTCTATAACCTCAAATCTAAGCTACTGTTCTATTTTCCCCCTTACAGATATTAAACCACATGCGATAGCACAAAAATCATTAGGCGTTAAAAAGGATAAACCTCAAAAGTAGTGAAAAATGCAATCGGAAACGATGACCGAAAGTAGTGGCTTTTTCGATCGGATAGTGCATTTTTTCGTAGACAATCAAGGTAAGCCCCGGCACCTGGAACCCTAACCTCAAATTTGATTCGACTCCCTTGACAACCCGGCAGATGAGCGCACAAAGGACTGGCTGCTGTCCGGATCGATGACACCACTGATCATGATCCTGGCGACGTATCTCTACTTCTGTCTGTATGCCGGACCCCGGTGGATGTCCAAGCGGAAACCATTCAAGCTGGAAAATGTCCTCATCGGGTACAACGCCGTCCAGGTGCTGCTGAGCATCGTGCTGGTGTATGAGGTTTGTTCGTTGAAGATGGTTAATTTGGAAGGATGTTCTATCGTATGTGTTCTCTTACTCTAGGGCATCCAAGGTGGATGGAACGGACATTACGATCTCAAGTGCGAACCCGTGGACTACAGCCGGGCTCCTCTTGCCATGAGAGTAAGACGTGATCGTTTGTTCGCTGCCAGGAACTACCTAATTGTGTTGTTTGATTGTTTTAGATGGCCCGTGCCGTTTGGCTGTACTACATCTGCAAAGTCGTTGAGCTGCTCGATACCGTGTTCTTCGTGCTGCGCAAGAAGCAGAATCAGGTTTCGTTCCTGCACCTGTACCACCACTCGCTGATGCCAGTCTGTGGCTTCATTGGCGTGAAGTACTTTGCCGGTGAGTCCCCGAGGGGTCTGATGGATTCTAGTTTAGAGGGAAACCGGTGAAGGGAATACCAATTCGTTTGAAATTCCAGAATCGGTGCCTCATGAGTTTGTCACAACCTAAAAAACCTGTTGTCGACTGAATAAGCTACAGTGCAACTTTTAAATGCTTGTTGGGTAATTTGTAGAATTTCAAGTTCCGCACTCTACCACCAGTAGTGAATCTCGTCTCATATTTCTAAAATTCTACATTTTAACGAACAGCAGCTTTTATCAGCACAACATTCAGATCGGGGACTTTTCTCCATCCAAAACTTCAAACCTTTTTTTTTTCAAAACTGACTGTTTAACGTCGAAAGTTGACAAACTGGTTCCCTCCTACAATGAATGCATGCAGAGCAACAGTGTTTGGCTTAATTTTGATAATATCTTCCAGGTGGCCACGGTACCCTGCTCGGAGTGATCAACTCGTTCATACACGTGTGCATGTATGCCTACTACATGCTGGCTGCGATGGGACCCAAAGTGCAAAAGTACCTCTGGTGGAAGCGGTACCTAACCGTGATGCAGATTGTAAGGCGACAAAATTTCCTCCAATTTCAAGCAATTCTGACTGACTACCACACTTTCTTTTTCCCCTATCACCCCCAGATTCAGTTTATAATCGTGTTCTATCACACGCTGCAAGTGCAGTTCCAGCCTACCTGTGGCTACCCCAAGTCCATCGCAGCCCTGCTGACGCTCAACGCCGGTCTGTTTATCTACATGTTTAGCACGTTCTACGTCCGGAGTTATCTGCGAACCGCCCGGCGAAATGCCGCCGAGCTCAACAACAACAATAACAACAATCGAGTGGAGTGTAAACCAAAGGAAGTGCCACAGTCGGAGGACAGTCGGACGCCTAGCGCAAATGTCGTGCTCGCTGGTGCCGAACCCAAGAAGGATCTGTAACGGATCGAATGGACAGCCTTGGATTCGAGGCCATGTGGAATGAAAGAAAACAAAACAACAGACTACCACAAGATGAGCGATTGGAGCCGAACAATACTAGTGATAGGAGTGAACGTTGTCTGTAAAGTTCCGTGGAGCTTTCGTATTTTTTCGCCGACTCTGTTTTTAATTGTACATTTTTTTTTACTTAGAAAAACCGACACTAGCTTATTGAATATATTTAATTACAAAGTATGGAACGGGGTTTGAGGTAAATCTTGAAGAAATCCCTTCTTTTCGCGTGTCAACTATTCGCTGTTCAATCACAAATTGAACCACAAATATTTATTTATTTATTGTTGTTTCGAACGGCGCCGGTGGTTTAGTGGTAAGCGGCCTGGGTTCAATCCCAGTCGGCGCCGCCGGGATGTTCTGAGGCATAACATCTCTGATCAAGCCTTCCTTCGGAACGAAAGTAAAGCCGTTGATCCCCGGTTCATGAGCTGATGGGTCGATAGGTAGGGTCCAGGTGTGGGAGCTGCCTTCCTGGCACGTCGGTAGCATTGGTGCTCAGCACGGAAAACAAGATCGACGAAAAAAACAAACCAAAGGACAAAAAAAAAAATTTGTTTCGTCTTCCGTATTCTTAATTCTATTTTTTAAAAGCATTCTTAGAAACAGTAAAATCGTAATGAACACCAACGTCGTTGAAGGCTTTCAAGCAGGAATTTAGTGGATTGTTCTGACCATAGACGGTTCTATGTGCCGGTACAGCAATGAGAGGAGATCTCCTTAGTTGCCGCGGTGGTACATAGAGAGGAATTTCCTGGAGCAATTGAGGACAATCGATGTTTCCGCCAAGTAGGTCGAAAATGAATAGTTGCTGAATCATTTTACGCCTTTCATTTAACGTTTCTAAGTTTATCAATGCACAACGAGCGGTGTAGTCAGGTAGGTGCATGAGATCACGCCATGGCAGATTTCGTAGTGTGAATCTGATGAACAGTCTCTGTATACGTTCAACTTTTAAAACGAGTGAAGTACGGAACGGAACGGAGCCCAGATGGGAGCTGCATATTCTAGGAGGCTCCTTACTAGAGTACAGTACAGCGTCTTCTGGGCGTAGATATCCGTGAACTGCCAAGTGTACCGCCGAATGAAACCGAGAACAGCATATGCCTTCGAAGTAACCATCGCTACGTGATTGTTAAACCTCAACTTTGAGTCAATCGTAACCCCTAGATCAAGAATTGATGACACTCGTTCCAATGGTACAGATTCCAGCGTGTACTGGTGAGTGATAGAGGCGCAGCGACGAGAAAATGAAATTATTTTGCATTTTTTTATATTGACTTGCATTCCGTTTTCACTGCACCACAGCAACAAATTGTCAATATCACGCTGAAGTTCAATACAGTCGAGGATGGAAACGATGATTCTGTAGATTTTCAAGTCATCGGCGAACATCTGCTTGAATGATGAGATACGTGGACACAAATCATTTACAAACAATACGAAATTTAATGGTCCCAGCACACTGCCCTGTGGTACACCGGAAGTGATTGAAAACGATTCCGAACGAGTAGAGTTTAACGACACGAAAGCATTACGATTCGTCAGGTAAGACCGAATCCAGTCAACCATCCAATCGGAGAGTCCTATAGCTTTCAGTTTTTCAGTGCGGTACCGTGCAAACGCTTTTGAAAAATCAATGTAGACCGAGTCAACCTGATTGCGAAGTTCGACCTCGCGGAACAGTGTGTTGGTATAGCACATCAGATTCGTGGATGTAGAACGATGTTGAACAAACCCATGTTGATACTCCGATATTAAAGGCTGAACAACACTGTAAAGTGCGCCGTGCACTAGGGTTTCGAAAGCCTTGCTAATGCAGCATAGTGTAGGGTCTTGCCCCTCATGCAGGTAGAGAGGGCTGAACGTGTGGTGTGTGAGAGAGAGGAGGTTGGAAGGAGACAGAGAGGGAGAGAGTGTCGTTGCCGAGGAGTGAACGGACGGATGGGGTTTTTAAGCTGAAATAAAGTGTAAGATTAATCCTGGTAGTAAATTGAGTGTTTTCATTTAAGTGCAATCATCACAATTGGCGACGAGGAGAAAGCAGGGGATGGTAAGTTTTATTAGCCAGAAGTGATTGAACGTTTGGGAAAACAAATTTCCGAATACGGCAAGAGATAAACGCATTTTTCTTCAAAATGGCTGACACTCGTGCGGAGGGTTTTTGATGAAAGGAGTAGTGTTCTGAAAACTGAAAGGAAAGGAGGATTGTGGCAGCAGAATTGAGGGACGTGTTCAACGTGCGAATATTTGTTGTTGTTTTTTTGGAATATGATCGAGGTGGAATAGTTGTCTTGGTTTAAGATCGGGTGAAATGTGAATCTATAATGAAGTAGGTGATGAAGATTGTAGAATGGAAGTGGCAATCGGACAAAAAATCCAATTGGAATTTTTAGAGCTATAAAAACAACGGAAGCTTCATGTGTGCGATTTGGGAATCGAAACCAACTAGATGAAATCGATTTGGGAATCGATGCGGTGTCGGTTTGGGAATCGACCAAGTTAAAATTGAATCGATTTGGAAATCGAACTGGATGAATACAATGATAAGGCATTCGATTTGGGAATCGATTTGTTGTTGATTGGAAAGTTGAGCGAGGTCATTTAATAGATATGGTAATCGAATTAGTGGACAGTGTTGCTATAATCGATTTGGGAATCGATGCAGTGTCGGTTCGGGAATCGACTGAGTTTATATGATCGATTTGGGAATCGAATTGGACTTTGACAAGGTTCAGGCGCTCGATAGGGAAAAGATATAGTGTGGTTTGAGAATTGGCTAGGTGCTTATAACAGACTCGAATACTGACAGGGTTGTAATATCGGTTGTTGTTTTGACTTTGATTTTTTTAGATGGTTTAGTAATCAAATCGAGTTAAATTCAACTCAGAACGCTTGTTTAAAAAAAAAAAAAAAACTTATACCTATGTATATGGATTTGAATAATTTTGTTCTAGATGGAACAGTCTCGAGTTTTGCCTCCATTCAGATGTAATGATGTGGATAAAGGAAAGCTGCATAGAGAATGGGTGATTTGGAAGCGTTCCTTGGAATGCTATTTCGAATCGGAAGACATTATTGACCAGAAGAAAAAGCGGTCAAAGCTGTTGCACTTCGGTGGGCCGCAACTGCAAGCGCTCTTCCAGAACTTACCAGATGCGGAGAAGTTTTCCTATGTGACGCCGGAAAAGCAGTACTACGATGTGGCCATTCAAGCATTTGACGCGTTTTTTCAACCAGGCCGACAGGATGTACTAGAACGTCACAAGTTAAGACGGTTGAAGCAGCTACAAGGAGAACGATTTGCTGAGTTCATTGTCCGTGTGCGTCAGCAGATTGGTGAATGCGGGTTTCGAAAAATATCCAGAAAAAGTGCGATGCATCTTATCCGATATTATGCTGATAGATACGATTGCAGAAGGCTGCCGCTCGGAGGAGTTACGGAAGCGCATTCTGCAGAAAGACCGTTCGGTGGAGGAGATAGAAGAAATCGGAAAATCGCTGGAAGAAGTGGAACAACAAATTAAAGATTTCACTATGGTTCGCGAAGAAGAACACGAGAGAGGACGGGTGTACAAAATTCAGACCCATAAGCAGAGGAAATACACTCCGGCGTCGAGCAATGCGGCGTACGCTCGTATGAATAAGGATCATTTGAAGTGTTTCAAATGTGGTTTTAGTGGCCATATTTCCTCGGAAGCGAAGTGTCCGGCACGAGGTAAGATATGTAACCACTGCAAGCGCTTGGGACACTTTGAGTCACAGTGCCGTATTCGAAAGTCACAGTCTGGGGATCAAACACAAACACGGCCAACATCGAAGAAAATACGCTATGTTGAAACTACTGGTAGGAATGTGGATTCTACATCGTCGGAGGATGTTTATTCGGTGGAGGCATCGGAGAAAGAGGATTCCAAGAAAACATATTATGCGTTCTACACAGGAAACGATTCGAACATAATTGAATGCGAAGTAGGCGGTGTTCACATAGATATGCTGGTCGACTCGGGGGCAGAGGTTAACCTGGTATCGGAAGCGGCATGGGAGGTGCTGAAGGCAAAAGGGGTGCGCGTTAAAGTTTCGGAGAAAGGCAGTAAGCATGTGTTGAAAGGATATGCTAGTGATCAGCCTTTGGTGATCTTGGGTACGTTTGTAGCTGATATTGTAATCGGACAAAAGCAAGCTGAAGCAAAGTTTTTTGTGATCAAGAGCGGCCAACGTTGCTTGTTGGGTGATTCCATGGCCAAGGAACTTGGAGTACTCAAGATTGGAGTAAACATTAGTCAAGTTGATGCTACACCTAAGGCACTCTCTAAGATCAATGGGCTGCAGATTCATATCCACATGAATCACGCTGTAAAGCCGGTTTTCCAACCAGTGAGAAGACTCCCTGTGGCACTTGAGGACGCGGTTAATCGGAAATTGGACGACTTGATTAAGCGGGACATAATTGAGGAAAAGAAGGGTCCAACCAGTTGGGTTTCGCCTCTTGTGGTCGTTGGCAAATCTAATGGTGAGCCCAGAATTTGCTTGGATCTGCGTAGGGTGAATGAGGCAGTCCTCCGTGAATGACATCCCATGCCGTTGATCGATGATTTTCTGGCTCGAGTTGGTGGCAACATGATTCGGAGTAAGTTGGACGTGATGGATTCGTTTTTGCAGTTAGAGCTGGATGAAGAGATATTATGTTGTTTATCACTAGCCGAGGACTGTTACGTTTTAAGCGAATGCCTTTTGGTCTGGTCACAGCTCCAGAGATTTTTCAAAAGACCATGGACTCCATTCTTGCCGGTTGTGACGGGACTTGGTGGTACATCGACGACATTTATATCGAGGGAAGGAACAAATCGGAGCATGATAGTCGCCTTGATAAGGTAGGATGATCAGTTGTTTTTGTTTTTTGGTCAAGTATCCAATTTGCTTTTATATTGAAACAAATTAAATTCGATTGGATATGAAATTTATTCAGAGTTTGAAATAAAAGAAACTGGATAACATCTATTACTTATTTTATTTGATTCATGTTTAGGTACTTCATAGGCTGAAAGAGCGGAATGTTCAACTAAATTGGAGCAAATGTATTATAGGGGTAACTGAGCTTGAATTTTTGGGACACAAAATTACCAAGGACGGAATAATTCCTTCGCATCAAAAGGTTGAGACTCTGCTTTCATTTAGGAAGC